ATTAAATATTATAAATTATAACGAAGTAATTTTTATACACTGTTTTTTTAGAAAAGTTTTTATTTTAATTTATTTAAAAAATTAATTATTTTAATAATTTTATATTATAACAAGTTAATCTCGAGCTGAAAACGAAGCCAACACGAATATGAATAAATTTTTCGAGAGTCATTTCGAATATGAGCTAATTTTGAATGAGTCAAACACGAGCCTAGTCTGAGCTCGCTCATGCTCGGAGCTCAGACTAGGCTCGTTTACAACCCTAATGATATATGCATATATTTGTTTGCAAGTTCATATATATATATATATATAATTTAAGGATTGGTTGACGGGCGGAACCGCCAACCAATCCCTTAGGTCTTCGCCAGCATCGCTTGGTAGCGTGAGACAGGACCACATAAGCCAACCCATTCGAGGACCTTCTCCTTTTAGGCAACAGTCGTCAGAGACGGGATTCGAACTCCAAAATATATATATATTTATGTTAATATTTAACTCAAAAAGCCCCCCTTTTAACTTTTTAACTAAAATTATATATGTATGACTGAAAGCCTCTTGATTAGTTTAAGCAGCGAAGCTAGACATCTCGACCAAATAAAATTTCTCGAGAGATCCATTAACTTAATAAATTAGATCGCCCCATTACCATGCTGACTGACTAAGTACAGATGTGAAAATTCTAAGGAAAAATAAGCATGAGAAAAGTTAGCAATACAATATATTGATATGATAAAATAAGGATGTCTTATAATTCAAGTATGAAAAATAGATGCATATTTTCATATCTAATATGTATCATAACTTGTCAAATAGAACAAGTTTCTCAATAACTCATAGGGAGCTCATCTCACTTATATCTTAGGGAATTCACCCATTTTAGTTAGTTTGCTTGGAGTGTGAGGCAATTTTCTTAACCACTAGAAACGTAGCATAGTAGCCAAATGCTAGATATTGACTATGGAGAAACTCTTTACCAAATGTAACTTAGTTAAATAAAGGATTAATATAGTTAACCTAAGAATTGAAGACCATGGGATCTCAACCTGGGTAAAATTAAAAATTTATGGCAGTTACACCCTATAGAAGTGATAGAGATTTCAGACAAGGGGTGGTTTGAACTTAACAATATTACCTATATTTCCTTTTAAATGAGATACATTAGAGAGAAATCCAATCTAATCCTATACATGAGATAAAATTCTTTATAAAAAACTGAGTTCAATGACAACATTTGGGGAACTTGCTCCATAAGACGACTTCACCTTTAATTAAACCGATCAAACAACAGAATAAAAAATATATGATTGAGCTCATAAGTTGCAAGACTACTCTATGAAGACGAGTATAAATGCCCACAAAATAAATTCTTATGGGTATAGCCAAAGTATACATAGAACGGTTCAATACATATTATATAAGAACCGAGGATAGTTAGCACTTAGTTAAAGCCACTCGTATTTTACTTAAAAAAATTCTTTTTGAAGAAATAGAAATTGATGAAAGGGTATATTGATAATAAAAATATATTAACTTATCTCGTGTTGATCGAGTACATAGTTAGGCTAATGATAGAAATTTTTTAATTCATCCAAAGTTTAAGTTATTTTATTACGTAGAAAAATAATAATAATAATGTCATTCTCTTATTCTTTTCATAGTAGTCTTTCAAAAATGCAAGAGAATTGAATGATTGAAATGCCTAATACTGGGTTCATGGTATGAAACATGGCTACTAAACCAAATTAATTCTCCTAGTTGATCAATTGGGACTTAAGAGATCAACTCTCCCATGAGACCAACTTCCCCAAGAAGATCAACTCTCCCAACATAACAAATCAATAGGAAACCAACAAACCCAATGATTGAGCTAGCGGATAGGGTTGAAGTGAAAAGTTTGAGAATAGTTATGAGGAACAGTTACCAATACAAGTCAGTACCAAGATAATATTAATTACAACATTCATATTAGAAGAAGACAAATGATAGATCAATGCTCTCTTTGGATTAATGTATAATATAGAGTTTATTGTAATGTATAAGCCAAACCTAGTATAAATAGGGTTGATCACTAAAATACAATAGTTGGATCCTGGTATATTGAAAGACTCCTTTATATATGAAGCTCTCCTTGTTCTTTGGTCCCAAAATTTTCTTTGTTCGGCTCTTTTCTTGTTGTCGTGAACCCACAGACCAATCAAAATCCAACAATATACAGAATTTTTATTATCAAATATTAGGACAACATATCAACTCAATTTCATCTTCTTCTTATAATCTTTTTGGGCTTTCAAACTACCAACTACTAGACTTAACTAAAAAGTGCATAGTTTTGAAAATTTATATGGCCCAACCATAGTTTTTCAGACTAGACCAACCCTACAGATAAATGAAACAAAATGCTTAACTACCACTCTACAAGGATCTTACAACTTAGCTTAATTCTTTAATTACAAAGTTATTTAATTAAATTTAGCATTATGTTAATTTATTATAAAGAAGAAGACAAGAGACACTAGAGTTCCAATGTGAAACTTTAGAAACTAGAAAAAATCAGAGAGCTTGGCTAAAATGAAATCTTCTACTATATAAGTAAAATTATATAGTTATATTTTCCTCTCTATTAAAGAAGATAAGATTATAAATTGATGAACTCAAGTTTAAACACCCATAAATATAGAAGAGCTTTAAATAGTAGCAGGACAGTGATGCTGATTCGATTATGACATGCTTATTCTAGATAATTAAAATTATAGAATGAAATATTTTACCTCAGTTCCAAATGATTTATCATGTAAACGGAAAGCATCTGCACATCCAAACATGGTTTAGAAAACAATTACAGACCCAAACATGAAACAAAAACTATAGATATTACATGAAATATTTTCACAAACCAGAAGATAATTACACATCAAACATTTAAGAGGCCAAAAATGAAATCAGAACAAAAAAGTAACATAAAACCAAACATATAAATAATATAAAACCTCACAATTTGAAATGCCAGTCTCCAAAGAATTTTCTGTTGCAAGGCTCTCTAATCAAACTAAGCGGCTTAGCCCTCTCTACTTTCTGTAAAGGAGAATTGCATCAAGCAACATGATAATTCAATATGTTTCCTTCTTTGATTAAAAGGATGTTATGTTTCCTTATGCTATCTTCTCTTCACTCATCAACTGAAATATTTGCACAGAATCAAAAACTATTGTTCCAATCCTTTCCAACATCACCAGACCCCCATTTCAGTCATGACTAGCTTTTCGTCATCTCGGTCCTGAGAGCTCCATTTCCTGAACCAGCAAAGTGGAGTCGTCGGTGAGGTCGGAAAACCGTTCGGAAGAAGACAACTCCAGCATCTTGAACCGGTTAGGATCAGATCTTTGCGAGGCCTCCCACCGCTCAGCAAGGCCATCACCCTCGAGCATCCTGACCACCTCAGACATTTTCGGACGGTGACGGGGAAGAAATTGTGTGCACAATAATGCCACCTGGACCATCTCTTCGAGCTCGATTCGATCACAGCTGTTATTCAAATCCTTGTCTATGAGCAGTTCAAGATTCTTCTCTTGATTGAGCTTTTTAACCTGGATGTATGTCATAAGCTTTTAGTTTAAATTGTTCAAACCAAACATTGTCTAAGGAAATTCTGAGTAAATCATTATAAAAGTGACTTGCCTTATGCATTTTCATTTTTGCATTTTACCAATATCTATCTGCTAAAGATTGAATATTTCACTAAGTGCCAGAAAAAAGTTGATATAGCAAATAACTTGCTCATATTAATGTACAAGTAGTCTTTCTAATATTTAATATTTCAAAAATAAGTCTCAAACACATGTAAAGACTTATTCTTGTATATTTGCAAATTTCACATGGAGAACACTATAAGAAGTTATTTTTTTTCAGTATTTCTGTCACATTAAAGTATACTTACCCAATCAAGCATGGCTCCTTTCTGGTTTGCCACCTTTCCAAATTCAAGGGCTCTTTGACCAGTTATCAATTCAAGTAAGAGGATACCAAAACCAAACACATCAGTCTTCTCAGAGGACTGGCCTGTGGAGAGGTACTCAGGAGCAATGTGGCCGACTGTGCCTCGCACAGCTGTGGTGACATGAGAGTCCTGGTGATCCAGAAGCTTTGCGAGGCCGAAATCTCCGACCACCGCCTCACAGTCTTCGTCAAGCAATATGTTTGCTGCCTTCACATCCCTGTGAATTATCTTGGGATCACACTGCTCATGTAGATACAAGAGTCCTCTTCCAGCTCCTAGAGCTATTTTCTTTCTTGTGCCCCAGTTCAGTGCTGGTTTCACTACGATTCATGTGCAAATATGCAATGATTTCATTGATTTACTTGCCAGTATTTATGACAACGATGCACAGGCAATAAAATTCGTCTTATTACTTAACACTTGACTCATTTAGTTAAAAATGTGATCTTAATGAAAATATTGAAGTCATAAATTACCTTTTAGTCTTGAAGCAAGACTACCATTAGACATGTAGGGGTAAACAAGAAGCCTTTCAGTGGGAGTGACGCAGAAACCATACAGCTTCAATAGATTCCTATGAACAGCTAAACTTATCATCTCAACCTCAGTCCGAAACTGAATCTCTCCGCCTGCAGCATTTCCATCTTTTAACCTCTTCACAGCCACAAAACTTCCATCCTGGAGCTGGCCTCTATAGACATTTCCAAATCCTCCTTTTCCCAATATGTTCTTGCTATTAAAGTTATTTGTGGCAATCTGAAGCTCCCTGAATTGAAACATTTTCAAATTTCCAAGGCCGGCCTCATCGTTTCGCTCGGTTCGTTGATCTACATGAAATCATTTGAAGAAAATATTTTGTTCAAGCCAATAAATGATGAGTGGAGCATTATGTGAAGTGTTTGGATGCTAAATTTATTGTGTTTAGTTTGATGAATTCTATGCTCACCATTCACATCAAAGAATATTTGCTGTTGGCATTTATGCCTCCACCATAGAAAATGCCCCAATGCTAGAATAATCAAAGATATTAATCCACAGCTAAGCCCAAATGCAAGAACAACTTTGTGACCTTTGGACCTTCCTGGTTTTGAAGAAACTAAAAAAAAAGAAAATTGTAAATGTGAAGCTAGCATCAGAATGAGAGCATATCTTTCCTTTTTAAGAAACAGAAAAATATTCTCAATTTTAAACAGATAAGTTCTACCCAACTGCAGCACTAGAATAAAATAAAAAAAACAATTAAGTTTTGACAGAATCATAATTATGCATAATTACTTGACAGTGTTTAGTTTTAGAAGTATCTAGTGATATAAAAAAAGAGCAAAATTAAGTTGAGCAAGCCAAAATCACAATAATAATCATGTGGAAAAGAGAAATTTGAGTACATTGTGAATTATTGAGATTGAAGGAAATTGGCGTGGGCATCATTCCGTAGCATTCTTTCTCTGAACCAGATGCACAGATGAGAGGATTCCCCACTATGCTAAAGCAGAAAAAGAGAAACATAAAGTGAGGGTAAGCTTTGTTGTTTATTATTTACTATTTTTTGGAAAGTACAAAGTCATGACATGCAAAGAATCTTATCATCACATTGTGAATTATCACACCAAATTTTTTGTGCAAAATTTTTTTTTTGCAGTTCATAGAAAATAAGAAATAAAGTGGAAAATTTAAATTTTATTTATTAAAAATTGTGGACAGACTGGAGTCTAATATAAAAATGCATTCGGTTTAGATGATTAAAATTATCTCAAAATCTAAACTTTGATTCTGAATCATGACTTACTTGAATGTCCTTGCAGGGAACTTTGGTATTGGACCACTCAAATTGTTATATGACAAGTCCCTGAAAATATTGAAAACTCTTTGAAAAAACCGTAAAATCTGCAGTATTATACCGCATGCCACTATTGAAATGATTCTAAAAGGAAAAGCAATAGGCCTTACAGGAAGGATAGCTCTGTGATGTTATCTAATTTCTGAGGGAATGGCCCATAAAAACTGTTATTGTTTAGCCTCCTTAAAATATATCGACATATGGGTATGTGTCAAGAGAACAATTAATTAAGTTGGAGAGAGCAAAAATCTCATCTTTCAGAACAGGATTTTTTACAGCAATCTTACAGGTATTGAAGGCTTCTTAGCTCTCCAAGTGATGTTGGGATTTCACCAGAGAGGTTATTGCAGGAGAGATCCAAGGTGCGAAGCATCACCAGTTTCCCAATCTCTTCAGGAATGGATCCTGAGATCTCATTGTTCTGCAACAGCCTGAAAGAAGCATTTTTTACCTGAATTCTTGCAGCTGAAACCAAATTCAATACTGATTAAACAATTCATCTCAATTTGAAAACTTACACTATCTCGAGGTTAGTCAAATTCCCTATGCTTGAAGAAAGGGAACCAGAGAGACTCTGACTTGGTGTTCCTCTGTCAAAATTTTGTCAGGAGAAGAAGAGCTAATACTAACAAAATATAGAAAGAGAAGAATAAGATGATAGAAAATTTTAAGATTTAACAGAATTTACAGGCCAATGACAAGGTTCTCAGATGAACAAGTGACCATTGTCCAGCTACATGGATCAACTGAGTCCTTATCCCAATTTTGAAGAACACCATGAGGATCTTTCAAGGAAGCCTTAATGCCCATCAAAGCTTGCACTGACACAAAGAAGAAATCTATATAAAAAAAAAAAAAACAAAAGCAAATCAAATGCATGAAACTCATGTTCATTTAAATGATACCTTCAAAGTTAACTCCTTTGGGGGATAGCAGAGCAGTTGCAGACACCAAAGACCACAGGAAGACCAGCAAAAACAACCCATCTTTTTCCTCCTTCACTCCCATTAGCTTGTATGAGCACCCAACCTTATAAGCTGCTGCAACTGCTCTTTAATGGTCTTTGGAGCCTACAAGGACTTTTTAATGGAGTTCGGTGAGCATTTATCTCATTCCTCATTTCTCTTCAATTCTGCGGATTGGATGGATGCCTGTGCTCAGTCACCCTCATGCTTCAGATGCCTGACAAAAAACCCAGACTCCGCTGCATGCTGCTTATAAGTATGCCCGTGTAAAGTGCAAGGAGAATGCGGAGGATGAGATAGCAAATATGCCTGCCACTAGATTTAGGCACTAGAAATGAGTAATTACATAAAACACTCTGAAATGCTTGTGATTTGGCATTAGTGTATATATATATATATATATATATATATATGCATATCACTTTTTTAGTATATAAGGAAATATATAATAGTTAAAAAAAGAATTTCAGTCGCTTTTAATTTTATTTTCAATTTAAACTTGATGTATAATATCCTATAAATGTCTTAAGAAATATTTATTAGATGCTACATGTTACTATGAGAGTGTAAACAAAAATAAAATTGAATAAATTGTAATCAAATTTTGCTTCACATGTAGTACATTTTAAGTCTCTTTTGATAGTATTTTCCTACTTGTAAACATGACTATAATATTCTATTAAAATCATAAAAAATGATGTTGGAATTGTTAAATTTTTTGAAGAAAATCACTTTTAACTTTGGGACTATGTTTGCACATTTATGTTCATTTAACTTTTTAGTTAAAATAAAAAATTCTCTAGACTTTCAGTCCAATTTTGAGGAAAGAAGTTACAAAGAGTTAATTATATCCAATTTTGAGGAAAGAAGTTACAAAGAGTTAATTACAATTTTGAGGAAAGAAGTGACTCGTGAATAATTTTAGAGAAATTTAGAAAAATACTCATATAATTTGGGCAAGAAATAAAATGGTAATAAACAAATCAAGTTTGCACTCCCTAAGATAAATCTTTAACTTATGAAATTTTATTCAAGGGTAGGGTAGTCATCCACACCCTCTAACTAGGGATAATGATGGAAAGAAAATATAAATCCTTCATAAATTTACCCTACTCCCTCAAAATAATTATGTAATTGTAGGATTGATCTAAAGCTCTTGAAGTGTTCTGCAAGGAAAGCAAAATCTACATCTTTTGTAAACTTTCAGTCTCTTTTAATTTTACTTTTTATTTAAACATGATGTATAAAATTTTATAAATATTTTAAGAAATACTTAATAGATTTTACATGTTATTACAAGCATGTAAATAATTATAAACTTAAACTTAAAGTTAAAAAAACTATAACCCAATTTTGATTCACATGCAGCAAAAATTTAGTCACTTTTTTTACTATTTTTAAAATTTTTCTCCTTGTAAACTTGACTTGTAATATACTATTATATCAAAAAAAAAAAAAAAGGTGTTGACATGGCAAAAAAATTTGGAAAAAAAATCACTTTTAGCTTGGATTGTATGCGGCAAAATGAGGCCCATTTAATATATTGAGTTAAAATTAGAATTTGATTAGCTTTGAGTATATGTTTGAGAAAAGAAATTTGGTTCAAATCATGTTTTGAGCGTAGACTGACTCACAAAAATTTTATAAAAGTTTAGAAACATACATGATAAAAAGAATAACAAATGAAATGGAAATTAATAAATGAAGTATGCTAAGCCTAGGTAAATCTCAGCATGTGAAGTTTTATCCAAAGGCAGGGTAGTGATCCCCTACCTCTAATTAGGGATAGGGATAGAAAGCAAATTCAAATCCCTTGAAGTTAATTTTACCCGAGTCCCTCAACATAATTGAGTATTTTTAAGATTGATTAAAAGCCCTTGAACTGTTCTACACTAGAAAACATAAGTGAATGATGTGGTGATATGTGCTACCCAAATAATCAAGCATAGAGTAGGCTATGTTGGTGAGATGGTTACAAATGCTAAAGCTATAACCATCCCACCACAATAAAAAAATGTGTCTTCTCTAGGTGGAGAAAAACCTTGCACAAGTTTCACCCTTGCTCATTACAACTCCTTAATATTTTATGATTGTGGTGAATGACAATGTTAAAATTCATGAGATAAGCAAAAGTTCTATAGCCATGCCCCTTCGATTTGAAAAGCTATAAGAACTAAATTCAACATTGGGAGACAGTGTTCTATTTTGATTTAAATGCCTACTCACTTTTTCTCTTTACAACTACTAGCTCATAATAGTAGAAGAGAGAGTTATAAGATCACTTTAAGAGATCTCTCACAACTATGGGAAGACACTACAACTTTGTTCTTTAGATCCGAAGGCTACAATGCATGTAATGTATAGTAAAGCTTCAAATGCAGGCTTTATATTTTAAGGGCAAAGAGAGTTTTCCAAGGGTTATTATGTCATGAACCAACCAAATCAAAATATTATATTAAGACAATCCATACTATTTCAAGGTTATATAATCAATTAGGTACCCAAAGTCATTAATAATTTTGTTCAAGTAATTCATGTATTAAATTATTTAAGGAGGTCAAGAAGTTAAGCTTAGAAACATAAGTTAGGTTTGGTTTGTCTTAGAAAACGCATAAGATGTTTTGCACATATTCGATTTAAGAATTTTAATAGGATCAAAAAATTTAAAAAATTAATAATTTTTATCGCAAATGATATTGCTAAATAAAAAATTAATTAAACCATTTCTTGTTTTGATTGTTAAGCTTTAATATTACTATCTCAATTAATTTCTTCTTATATTGCAATAATTAATATGAAAAAGTTTAACGTAGATAATTTCATAAAATACTTTATAATTTTCAACAAACTCCATGCAAAATCATATAATGACTTTTAATAGTTAATTATGTGAAATAAGTCATTTTCAAGATTAATCTATTACTCATTTAATTGAACACTTCAATATAAATTCATTGAATAAACCTTTAGCTAATTGTTCAATCATTTAACTTCATTAAATTACTTTCATTTAATGACATCAAAATTGTTATATAAATATATTTGTTCATAAAAAATTATATATATAAATATATATACTTATATATTCTAAAAATCATAATTTATTCATTATAAAAATTAATTAAGTTACACCAAAAAATTGCTTAATCCATCTTTGGTTCAATTTTAATCTAATGTTTGCCATATTTTTAATTCATTTAAGATGCAAATCAGGTTTAGTTCACTCATTAATTCAAATATACTTTGAATATTTTAGATAAACAATTCTATATCAATTAAATAATTCTCCTTTCAATCTTTTCAAGCAAAATCTTCCTTATATGTGGTTGGAAAAAAATTTCGCATTATGAACTTGCTATAAGTTTGCTTAGTTTAATTTCTAGTCAGCTCTTAATATTTTATATATTAAAGTTTGAATATACATATAGAGAATTCT